CATAGCAATACTTGTATATCACTGAAGTGTTACACACAGAACACAACCCATGAGGTTGTGGCTGCTCACTAGTTTTGAGGAGCACTGACATTTGCTTAATCCTGGATGGCATGATGCAGAAAGACTAAAAATACACCCGAGAAATGAAATGTAATAGTTGGATTAAAGTCTGAGCTCCAAAAATAGGGTGCTGAGTAACCATGTCTAAATAGCAAAATCGGAGTGTTCCACAAGCTCCGGCTCTGTCAGGAGCTCTTTCTTTTGACAGCTTATGGAGCTTGTGCAAGCCTCCAGCTGAAGTGTTACAGCCTTACCTTTCACCATAGAGTCATAAAGGCTGGAAAGACCAATCAGATCATCCAGACTCAGACAATTCAATGGGACTGTGGTTGGTTGTTCCATTGTAAATCGTGAATTCCTCCCAGGGTTGTGGTGTGGCGGCACAAACTCAAGTCTTGTGACCAAAACATGTGTTTTCTTTGAGAAGAGGCTGTGACACTTATAATAACCTCAGAAACAGAGAATTCCAGGAATCCCAGAGGATAAAACCCAAAGTACTCTGAGATACAAACGCCGTTTGTGGTCTCACTGGTACTTTCCCAGTCTAAGTTGGGAAATTGGAAACAAAAGTGAATTTCCAAAAAATCACAGCGGAGATCCCCACTGAGCCATGCAGCCCCAGGTCTTCCTCATCTCCTGGATTCCTCGATGGTAAAGTCATGCTGAACTCCAACATGGAGCAATTCCTCTCATCCAGCTCAGGAGCAGCCTTGGGAAAGGTAGGATGCTTTCCTGCAATGTAACAGGCTCACACCCTTCTGCTTGGCTCTGTTGGGGTATTCCTCTGGGCAGTGAAAGCCTTTTATGTGAACTCTGCCAACATTCAGCCAGAAATGTCAAGTTGTTAAGAGGAATCAACATAAATGCATAAATCCTATGACAAATGACTGTGGGTTTCATGCGGTGTATTTTAGTTCCTAGCAGAAAACGGTCTTTCTCTGGTGCTAAACACTGTGTTGTCATCATTGTTGGCTTCTTCTTTCTCCTTTTCCTCCTTCTTTCTCCTCCTCCTCAACGTGCTTCTATGATTCCACCATTCTCCTCTTCCTCCTCATCTCTGCCACCACCATCACCATCCTTCAGCTCCTCCTCATCAGCTCCATTTTTCTTTTGCTCTTTCTGCTCCTCTTACTCCCCCACGTCACCATCGTAACCATCACCTTCCTCTTCCTCCTCCTCATCACCACCACAGTCCTCCTCCTCTTCCTCTCTTTCCTCCTTCATCATCACAGTCACAACCACTCTCCTCCTTCTCTTCCCTTCCTTCATACTCATCATCTTCATCATCACTACCATCACCATCCTCCTTTTCTTCTCCATCATCTTCATCACCATTAGTGCCACCCCCCCTTCTCCTCTTCATCATCATCATCTTCATCATCACCCTCTTCCTCCTTTTCTTCTTTTCTTCTTCTTCTTCTTCTTCATCATCATCAGCAGCACAACCACCCTCCTTCCCTTCTTCTCCATCATCATCAAATTTAGCTCATTAACTCACTTGTAGCACCCATAGCATAAGGTATTTTGCATTTATACACACCTGGGTGGAAGGGCCATCAGGTCAACTCCATTTAGCACCATCTCACAGCTGTGGGTCACACTGACTTCTGCCCCTCCAAACCCCACACTTGCATTAAACATTTGCAGCCTTAATTGGGTGTAACCACAGCGTGACTAATTGCCATCGTGGCACCAGAAAATCAGCTCCTTCTTCCATTAGAGAGGCTCAGTAGTACTGTCGTGCCATATGGCAAAATTATAAACACTGTAATTACTTCCTTGATAAGGAAATAATTTAATATATATATTTGAAATGGCTTACTGTAATTTCTTTCCAGGTGTCACTGCTCTGGGAGAGAGAGGCCATATGCTACAATGAGATAAGATAAAATTAAATCAGTTTGATGGGAAATGAGCCCGGTGTGACAATCTGATCTGTACAAATGGTTTCTAGAAATCTTTGGTACTTAGTACTTCTGGATAAGCCATCCTCCCAGCTATTCCCCATAAATGACCTCAAATATTCCTCAGAGGTAGTAATGCTTAAAGATGATCTCACATCCCCACTGGTGATATGCACTTAGTGCAGGAACACACAGCTCAACATTCTTAAGAAATGAAATAGTTCCTGGATGAACACCCCAAAAAACAGCAAAAACAGATTTGTTGTCCCTTCGTAAACAACAATTTGGGTTGATTTTAGCTGGGAAATACACCCAATGGAATATTTTTACCCAAACAAAAGTCTGCTGCTCTGCATCTTGGAACAAACATTGTGCTTCCAAAGACATGGAATCATGGATGCAACACAAGTCCTGTTCTGAATCCAGCTTTTCTTACTCCAAAATCTTCAGCGTAAGAGTCGTAGTCAACAGTACAATCTTCCTCCATCCAAGGAGGAACAAACAAACATCAGCTGAAAAATACAATAGAGTCATTGGATGAGGCAAAAGCTCATCAGCTATTTATATCCATCCTCCCCCAAAGGCAAGAAAGCCCAAAAATTATTTTTCACATGCTATGAAAGACAGCCCTTATGTTTGTAGGGGTGGTGAAAGCCTTTGAAAATACAAAATTCGAGCTCAGTCCCAGGTTATCTCCATATCCCATGGTTAGGGATGCTCTAGGTCACATTATTGTCCTGGTGGGTAGGGCAAAATGAGAAGGATCCTTTGATGCCGTGCATTGAACTCAGCACACAAAGAGCTTCCTTATGGAAGGGTTTAATGGGTTGATGCCCAAAATTGTGGCCTACTGATAGCTCTGATTTTTGTAGAAAATCCTCCTATGGGAAATAAGGCATTCCCAAGAAACACATTTTTCCAGCTTTGCTAACATAAACTTACGTGTTGTTTACATTATCCAATAAAACTTTCGTAGCTACACGGTTTATTTTTACAGGGATTGCCAAAAAAATCCCTTTGGGATCAGTAGTGAAAAAACATTGTGTTTTTGAGGGTTTTTTTTGAATGAGTGCTTTAAGAAGAAGAGTGGAAACTTCTCAAACCCCAGGGACCTCCCATACCAAATCCCGGCGTTGTTGCCCTCAACTGTTTATTGCTGGTGAACTCTAACCCACTGATTGCTCCTTGTAACACTCATGAAAAATCCTCACCTGTCCAGAGTTCACAGACCGAAGGCTGTGTTCAATCCGCAGTGGAGCGCCTTTAAATATGGAGCTTTAGGATTGTGAGATCTCAATTTGCATGCAATTGGTGCAGCGCTTTGATCTGCAGGATCCTGAATATTTCTGCTAACAAATCTTGGCTACATACAACCAATTCTCAACGTTTCCAGTCTTGCTCTTTGTGAAATATGTTTGGAAGGGTTTAATGATTGATCAAACGGTTACCAACGCAGTACTGTTCCACCATAGAGGTCGTCGAACGGTAATAATTTAACTGCTTCCCATGAAGGATTTCTGGTTGGATATGGAAAGCTATATCCTTCAAATTGCCCTTCCCTTTGGCTGTAGTAAAGCTATTCACCAGTATTCACCCATCAAGACAGAATGAGTTGTGGTCAATGGAAAAGGACCTGGAGGCACACAGAGCATGGAGCCACGAGGTTGTCTGGGGAGGATTTATTGTACAGGCATCTTCCAGGGCCTTGGATCACGGCTTCATTTCCAGTTTGGCATCAGCAAACTCCAGCACTGAAGGCCTCTGATATCTGCATCCATGAGGTCTTCCACCCAACCCAACCCAACCCAACCCAACCCAACCCAACCCAACACAACCCAACACAATCCAGCCCAGCCCAATGCAACCCAATGCAATCCACCCCCCTGACCCAACGCAACCCAACAAAAAAGAGTTTTTGTTGAGAGTTTGGTATAAAAGTTACGCAACCAGAGCACAAAGAAGCTTTTAGCATTGGATCCAACCAGGGGCATCTGGGGGGGGTGGGGTGGCTGCATTGCCCCATAGTACCACATTTCCATTGGGCAGCCTGTCCCCAGGCTAAAGACTTCATTGTTCCCTACTAAGAACTGCATCTCCTCCAGATGCTGCATCACAGTGATACTGCATCCTACTCCAAGTTCTGCATCCCACCCCAGGTACTGCATTCCACCCCAACCACCACATTCCATCCTGGGTACCACATCTTCTCCTTCTTGGGTATCCCATCCATCCCAGTATTACATTTCCTCTGAGGTAATGCATCTCCTGATGCCTCAATCCATTTGAACCCATCTTGCCTGGTCTAGATTTTAGATTTAGGCAAGACATTCACCTTTTGTGCTAGAGGTCTTCATGTTGTCTTTTGTCCCAGGTGAATGTGAAACTCTTCCCTCTTCCAAACGACATTCCTGATGACGTGGGTTATAATGAATTTCCCATCAGAATGACATCCCTTCTCTCACTTTTTCTATTATATCCCCACTTAGGATATCACATCCTCCTCACGTAACACACTATTGCATCCTCTGGGAGTAATGCATCTCCCTCCAGTGTTGCATCCCTCTTTGGATACTGTATCTTTCTCCACTTTGGGTACTGCGTCCCTCCTCAAGTACTGCATCCCCCTTTTAGGTATCACATCCTCTTTTTGGGTACTGCATCCTTTGAGTTTGGCATCCTCCCCACTTTGGATACAGCATCTCCACTTTGGGTATTGCATTCCCTCGTTGGGTATTGCATCGCCCGAGTTTTACATCCTCCCCCTTTTGGGACCCTCTTTGGGTCCTTCTTTGGGTACTTGGCTACCGCACCTCTTTGGAGTCCCGCATCCCGTTCGCATCCCTCACACCCCCACCATCCTCCTCCTTCCCCTCCTCCCCCAGCCCCATCCCTCTCCATTCCCTATTGGTCGACGTGTCCCCACCGATCACCCCGTGCTGAAACCGAAAGCGAAAGAGGGAAGAAAGAGCGAGGCCATGGCCGGCGGCGGCGGCGGCGGCGGATCGCGGAGGGGCGTCGGCGTGGAACCGCTCGGGGAGCGCTGAGTCCCCCCGCCCGGCCCGAAACCTCCGCCCATGGATCGGCTGCTGCTGCTCTGCGCTGCTCTCGCCCTATTTCTGCCTTCTAGCGCCTCGGACAGCGGTAAGCAGAGCGGTGCGAGGGCTCTCGGCTTGCTGGTGGGAGTACGCGCGTCTCACTCGTGCTCCTACGGGTGTCCTCGATTTACTCGTGGGTATTGGAGTGGAGACACACGCTGCGCCATGGGGTGAATCACAGGGCTCTCCGCGTGGCTGTGCTGCACATAGATACTCCGGGCTTCCCTCTTGGTGCCCACGCAGCACCCACTCATGACCAGGATCCCCTCGTGGTGTCCATGGGGTGCCCACAGTGTACCTCAATTGTCCCCCCACTGGGTGCCTGTAACACTCCCCCAGCAGCATCCGTGGAAGCTGGGGGTGATTTTAGGATCTCAGTGCTGCACCACGGACCCATAAGAACCCATAGCATCTGAGTGCTGCACACACAAAGCCATAAGGACCCATAGGACCTGGATGCTGCACCATGAATCCATAAGGACACACAGGATTTGAGTGCTGTACCATGAACCCAAAAGGACCCATAGGATCCAAGTGCTGCACGACAAAACCCAAAGGTCCCAGAAGATCCAGTTGCTGCATCATGATCCCATAAGGACCCATAAAATCTGGATGCTGCACTGTTGACCCACACGATGGACCCATAAGGACCCTCAGGAAATGCATCTCAATGGGATTTCCCCATAGAGACCTCCAGGAAAGACATCTGAATGGGATTTTGTGCTGCACGTTTATCATATGGACTGCCAGGAGATTCATCTCAGTGGTATTTCCTCATATGGATCCCCAGGACATGTATCTCAATGGGATTTTGCACTGTGTGTTTCCTACACAGACGCCCCGGATCTTTCAATGAGGCTTGGTAAACTTTCATGGAAGTGCAGGAAATAGAGCCGCCCGCCAAAAAATCTCTGGGATAGCTTAATGCTCCTTCTTTTTTGCTGCCAAATCTGCAATGTGACAGAAAATGAGCATTTTTTGTAGTGAATCAAGCACAGAAGAGCATTCCCTGAAGGCACTGTGCTCCTGCCCTGCCCTTTAAACGACATTCCCAGCAGTGGTGATTCAATCAGGATCATGATTTGGGGCAGAAAGCACCACTGTGGGCTAATTGTGGCTATGCATCCCCAAAGAGGGGATTCTTCAGTGTCTAATGGTTGTGAGTTTCCACTGATGGGATTCTCCAATGTTTAACAGCCGTTGTGCATTCCCACATCTGGGATTCTCTGGTGTCTAGTGGTGGTTGTGCATCAGTTCCCAGAGAGGGGATTCTGCATTGTCTAACTGTGGTTTTATCTCACGCATTCTGGGATTTCCTGCCTTTGGGAAGGGTGTGGGATACTCATGTGGCAGCAGCTGGCCTTATCCTTTGGTTTCTCCCATCTCCTGGCTCAGTGTCTGCTCCTTGGCACCATTGCCAGCCCATGTCATAGCGTCGTGGTGCTGCTGTCGGTGGGATGCTGTATACTGGTGGGTTGGAGAATGTCTGGGAGCAGGTGGGAATGCCCAGAAGTGTCTCTGGCCTCCGCCATGTTTCCATCCCTGTCCCTATTGCTATCATGTTCCTTTCCTCATTGCCATCATGCTTTCATCCCTATTGAGCTTCTATCCCCATTGCCAGCATGCTCCTCCCCCTATCATTCCCCTCTCCATGGGATGGCCACAACTGCAGCCTCAACTCCTGCTCAAGAGCCCACACATCATAGAACCAAAGAATCATAGAATCAGTAGGGACCCACGAGGAGTCCAACTCCTGGCTCCACGTAGGACCACTCAAAATCCAGGCAGCTCTGACATTCCCGTTGTCATCTCCTTTTCCATTTGCCCCATCCGCAGCGGTGCGATGCGGCCGTCCCAAGGAAGTGGCCAATGCGATCATCGACGCGGGCGACACGGAGCTGCTCCACACCAGCCTGCGTTACACCTGCAAGCTGGGCTACAAACGCAAAGCTGGCACCTCCACCCTCATCCAGTGCGTCCTCCATCATGGCAAGCCTGTCTGGACGTCCACTGAGCTGCAGTGCATTCGTAAGTGGTCGTGCCTCCAGAGATGGGACGCATTGGGATGGGCTGAAGGAGGACTAAGGGTGGTATTGCTGCTGCTGATGGTGTCTTTGTTGTGTTTACCCAAAGGGGATCCGGCTCTACCTCTGCAAACCCCAAGCCCTGAGCTCTCGACAGTGAGGACAAGCCAAAGAGGTGAGGAAGAGATGAATGTGGCAAAAAACTCAACTATTGTGGCGTGGGAAGCAAAATAGAATCAGAGGGTCATAGAACTGTAGAATCACTAAGGTTGTAAAACACCTCTAAGATCATCCAGACCATCAACCCATCACCACCATGCCCATTAAGCCATGCCCCTGAATAGAATCACAGTCATTAAGGTTAGAAAAGACCTGCAGTATCATCGAGTCCAATCACCAACCCAACCCCACCATGACCACTAAGCTGTCCCTAAATAGAATCACAGAATCATTGTGCTTGGAAAAGAGCTCCAACATCATCAGGCCCAACAACCAACCCAACCCCACCATGCCCACTAAACCATGTCCCTAACTGCCACATCTGCCCTCTTCTTGACTACAGGGAATTATCCCATTTCAAAGTGATTGAGATGTACCAACCCTTGCCACGTCCAAATTAAAACACTGCATAGTGACCAGAGCGCGCTGCCCTAAATTAAATGGTTTTACAACATTCCCCCCTGCAGGAACCAACACCACTTCAGCAGCACTGCCTGTGCCATCACCAGAGACATCTGTGCCACCGGCAGTGCCTGAACCACCAGAGATGCCTACACCAGGAGAGGGGACAGCACTGGGGACAACCCCACTGCCCACCATCCCCATAGACAATACTACAGGTGAGGAGATAACCCACTGTGTTTCCATAGCCAAGGGCCCTTTCTCTTCTTCAATACAATTTTTCCCTTCTCACCAACCTTTTAAATAAGATCCTCCCTGATACTTCTCCTCATTTCTCAGGCTTCCCTAGCTCTGCAGCTGAAATCTCTACTCTTTTTTTTTTTTTTTTTGGCAGTTTCCACCCAGACTGTGGCCTCTTCCATTGGTAAGCATTGCTGGGTTGATGGTAAGAACAAGCTGCTTTGGTTTTTTTTTTTTACCCTAAAAAAAAACCAACATGGGCTGTGTGAGGTTTATGCCATAATTGAGGGCAATGTTTCCAAGAGGGGCAGCGTGCAGCACCCTGATTTCTTCCCTTGGCAAAGAGGATACCTTGAAAATGCACTGTAACAGTTGTGTGTAGTGTAGTTTTGACTGTTTTCCAATGATGAGCATTGGAAGATGCTCATCATCTGCCTTGTTTCTCCTTTAGGGGTCTCAATTCTGCTTGTTGTTAGTGTTGCGGGATTCTGCTACTGGAGGATGAAAATGTAGGTTTGTTGAGCATCGTGTGGCCCGTCCACAAGACTCATTGCTTTCCTGAAAGCTGTGGAAGACCCTGTGGGCACTGCTGACACATCTCTCCCATCCCTAGGCACGCACAGCAGAGCTATGTGGTGGCGGTGATGGCCATCCCCATGGTGGCTCCCAGTACCACAGTAGAGAACGATGAGATGTTGCCACCTGGTGACATCCCCATGGGCTGAGCACCCAGCACAGAGCACATTGGTGTACCTACCAGCCCAGCTAGCCAGGAGGATGCTCGAAGCTTGGTGCTTCCCCAAGTGGCAGTGGCATGAGACATGTCCCCACGCCCCCAGCTGGCCTTCGAACGGAGCATCTTCACTCCAGGGACATGTAGCTGCTCTCCTCAGCCTGAACAAGTGGATGGGATCACTCCAGTGCCAAGAGGTGAGTGGTTATCCTATCATTTGGCTCAACGAGCAACTCAAGTTGGCGTAAACTCAATGGAAATCCTAAATGGGAGCCAAAATTAGGCTAAGCACCCAAGCAGGGCTGGAAAAGTTACCAGGATGGGATGCAAGGGACAGAGCAAGGCCATTAATACGGCACCCATGGGTGGCCTGAGCCCATAGATGGTGCCCATCCTCTTGCAGACTGGGAGGCCATGATCAACGTGGTCCAGGCTGCTTGCCCTAGTAAAGGACTTTTGTGGTACGGAGGATGGAGTTTGGGTGCTGGGGCTGAAGGCAGGCTGTGTAAGTAAAACCATTCCCTGGCTAGGAGCAAGGCCTGCTGGACACCAGCCCCATCCTTAGAGGTGCTTTAACCCCAAATTGCCCCCCAAACACAGAAAGCAGCACTGCTTAGGGTCAACAGAGACCCAGGTGAGTATCCCCCCATTGTACCTTGACTCCCTCCCTGCTCTCTTCCAGCCATTCGGTCATGAACCAACAACCACTGCAAAGGGCTTCAGCTCTATCACCACTTCAGAGGTCATCCCCTCGTCCACACTCAGGGATCTTCGGGGGCAATTTCAGCGCTGATGCCAGCTGCTTGCAGGGGACTGCATTTGGGAGTGATTTGCTACAAGCACTACCAAAGCCTGAAGACAAGGACATGGCAATGATATCTGTTGTTATCCACTAATTTCCCTCCCCCCTTGCTACAAACTGGAGGTTTTGTACTGATGTTTTATACATAAAGGGTATATATTATAATGTAAAAATACGCACAGAGTGGCTGATTCTTTAGTTGGGTGTCTTGCCAGCCACAATGATGGGGAGGATAGTGGGAATGCTGGGACAGACAGGAGCTGGTTTGGAGTGAAATGCATCCCTGTAACAGCCAGGGCTTGCTGGCGGTCTTCCAGGTAGGACTGAACCAGAGGAAAGGAGACATTCCATGACTGCAGCTCCTCACTGATGGGTATAGTGAACACCAAAACTCTGCATGGGTAGAAGTTGGCTTTGAACAACGAGGATGGGTGGCTCATGGTTGAATACAGAGCTGCAGCTGCAGCAACCCACTGCAAACTCTAAATGAGCACTGCCATCCTCTAGAGGCAAAGGGTGAAGGCAAAGTGGGGGATCATCACCCATCTGGCTCAGGTGGAAGGCAAAAAGGGCTTCATCAGCTAGCTGGAAAGCCAACCCAATGTGTTCTTTCCTCACTTGTCCTCGTGTTTGTTTCACTGCTTTGGACTGTCACTTTTCTGTGAAGACACATGATAAAACAAGGTTTCCTACAAGCCCCAAATGCCATGGGATGGTTGGACAAGAGATGGAAGGGAATGCTGGAGGTCTATGGTCCTGTGTCTGCAAGAGCTTTGCAGTTGTATTCAAACTTTCAAGTTTCGAGCAAAGTTACCTGCAGTTTTGATAAGCAGAAAGTCTTCCCGGAGTCACTGCTTCAAAAGCAAAAGGAGAGCCAACAAAATAGCTGCCATTCCACAAATAACAGTGGAAGTCAACAGGATGTGGGAGCCTTCAACAAACATTGCTCATGGCTCCAGGCTGAACGCCAAGATCACGCCTCTACCTAAACTGGTTTCACTTTTGATCTGTGTATGATGTGGCCTCCGGGACAACAAGCCAAGGTGTTATCTTCAGGCAGGCAGCATAAGCCACCCTCTGATTGACAGGGTCACCATTCTGCTGGTACCATTGCTATTGTGATGGCTGAAAAACAAATATAACCCAGGAAGACTTCTTAATGGGTGAGGAAAAAACAAATCATTAAAGCAGTTGGGTTTTTTTGCCACAAACTTTATCTCTGTATTAAAAATGTTCTCTGGCTTCTTTCTGATCAGCTGTGTTAGACTGGAATTAAATTGAAGCAGTCCTTCAAATGCAGCCTCTCTTCCCTCAGTGCTTTGCTACAAAGAAATTAAGCCTGAAGAAACTTCTTGGCTGCAAGTAAGGCAAATGACTTAAATTCAGCTGGGAGAGATTATGACTTCCTTCTTCCCCAGCGATCCAGAACTGACAGTGAAAATGTCCCAGTTGAAACAGGCTCTGGGAAAAAGTTCATTTTCTAGGAACAACAAGTTTTTCTGGGTACTTCCCAGCATCAAGCTCCTCTTTTGTTGGATGAGGATTTCCCTGAGGCACAAAGTGGTAGAAAAGGCAGGGAAACCCCAGCAGCTTTGTCACTGAAAGTATTTTCCTGGAGATGGAGAGGATGGATGAGTAGTGCTCAAAAAAAAATAAAATAAAATAAAAAAGCTGTCCTGTCCAATAGACTGTGCTGTGCATATTCTTCGTTGCAGTGATGCAGGTCACCCTGACCAGCTCGTGCAGGGCTTGAGAAAAGGTCTCACCACTCCATATAGACAACCTGGATGGTTCCTCTTGGAGCTGGTCCCAAGAATCCAACCTGATTTTGGAGCATGGATGTGACAGCAGTTGTCATCCTGCATTCAGCACAGCTCTGGGATGAGGCAATGGCTCTGGGACTTGCAAGGCTTCGTTAGAGTACGATGGGCTCTTCATAAAGTGCTGGGAGGAAGGCCAGGGGTGTCATAGTGCCAAAATGCTTCTGCACACAGGAATAGCAAAGGTAGCCACCCATATTCCTGCTGCCGTTGCTCTGTGGGGGAAAAAGATTTGAGAAAAAAGTGAGGCTGGAGGAATGCAGCCTCCTGCTCCCAGCCCTGGGCTCAACCTACTGGGTCAGATAAGAGTGCAATGATGTGCCCAAAGTATCTCCTACCACCTCCCATGCAAAGGAATCCACTGCGGGACAGTTTGCTTAATAGCTGCAAGCAAATGTCTCCACGCAGGTTTTCTCTGGGGAGGAAGAGGATGCATGGCCAGGCAGTTGATATTTCCTCTCATACATGTACATGGCTCTTTGCAATGATAGGGAGTGAATCCTGCTCTTATCGCTGCCTATATTCCCTGCTGATGGATCAGAGCCATCTCTTATTTCCTGTCCCAGACATGGAGACCCACTGGATTTACCATGTGTTATGTGACTGCACTTTCTGAGTGAAGATCAACCCCAAAGCCATAAGGTGGAACTCAAGCCAAAACCGGACCCAAAAATCAGATTGTCAGCCTCTTGCTAGTTCACACACAGCTCCTGGCAGGGACAAAGCACGCTCTGTTCATCTCTAGGCAGATGTTTGATGGCCTCTGCAGAGTGAGGCAGATGCCCCAAGACAAACTGGGGTACGACACAAGAAAAAGCCCCAAAACGCCTCCACTTGAGACCACAGTCTCATGAGAGAGGTCAAGACCAGAGTGACTCTGTAGGAACTGCACCACTATCCCAAAATCATGTATTCAAGAGGTCAGAAATTAAGGGCTGAGCCACAGGACACTCCTTGCTCACTTCCACAGAAACTTAGCACTGAAGTTGTCCCTTCCCCTGAGATAGCTCAGAATGATGCCAGCCATCCCATGGCAAGAGCACCCTGTGAAGTCTCGTGATTGAAAACCATGATCTTATAGGTCTTCGTGGCTTGCTTGCTCAAGAAAAAGAAGCAGTGTTTGGAGGGGACATACATGAATCAGAGGCAGCTTCTTCACAACCAGCCTGGTGCCAGATTGCAACGTCTGTGTACACTGTTGTGCAGAACAAGCAACCCCGGTCTTCACAGCCTCACCCATCAGCTCCACTCGAAGGAAGTGCTCCTAGAAGACAAGAAAAGCAGAACAACAATAAAATAGCACTCACAGGGAGCTGAGATATGGGAACAGTTGATTTTTTGGAGTTAATTTTGTTGGTTTTTTTTTTGAGTGCCCTGGGAAATGACTTGCAACAGGGCGTGCTTATAAAAATACTGCCAAAAAGTGCCTAGTGACCAAGCAGAACTCAATGGCAGCTGGCAAGGAAGGAAGCAAAGTAAGGGCACTGCAACAGAAAAGGGAACCTTGCTCTGAGGTAAGGAGGAAGGCTATGAAGGCAACGTCCAAAAAGGATTGGGGAAAAACACTGCACCACTGGAACTGTTTGTCTTGCTACTGAAAGCGCAGTGCAGAGCAGTGGGAATTGTGCACAGTGCTCTCAGCTATTGAGGAGGTTGTAGTCCACCCTCAGCATGAATCTCAAGGTGATCTCACTATAATCCTATTTTAAGTTCCTCCATCACAAAAGACCCTCCAAATGTCCTTGCAGACACTCAAGGTCAAGTTGGAGCAGGCTCTGAGCAACCTGATTGAGGAGTCTCTGTTCTCTGCAGGGAGGATGGATGAGATGCCTGCTCTGTTACACATCAGGCAGTGCTGCTCAGCCAAATTGATGGGTTTGCTTTGGAGCAACGTGCCACAAAGTGCAGCTATCAGAACCCCACGTTGCCCTGCTCCAGGTTTCGCACACTTTGGAAGAATTTCACTTACCCCTGCCAATGCCAAAAGGTGCTCCAGGGACTGTGACATTAACAAGCATTTCTTTGCACGTGTCACTGCAACATAAAGCAGGTTCCATTCATCCTCAGGATGCATGCCTAGATAGAAGGAAAGATCATAAATGCACAGCTCTGTCATGCTGTAACTTCAGCTGGCGTACCTGAAATGACACCAGGAGCTTTTTTAGGAAGCTTGCCCTTGCAAACAGAGCTGCCAACAAGCCCTCCGTTTTCCTGCTGACTGGAAAGCTTGAAAAACTGTAAACATGTTTTGGATTTCTGGATAAAAAACTAAGGAATGACTGAGAAGTTGATTAAGAAGGAGAGAAGATGCGAAACGAAAGTTTTTTAGCTGGAAAGTGTGATGTATTATCTGGCTCTTTGCAAATAGCAAAATAACTAATTAGATAACTCATCACCAGAGCTTGAAGATGCCACTGGAATAAATAAGAATACTTTTCTAAATAACTTCTGTTCTCAAATTCTGATCAATTTAGTCCAACGCACTGAGACACTGGGAAAGGCTTAATAACTGATTCAGAATCTCTGCCCCCTATAGAATTTTTTTTTCTAATGAAGGATTTGAAAGAGGCACATTAGAATGACGTTTGACAGGTCTTTTCCAGTACAATATCATTATTTTTTATGCAGATCCTGAGGCAGAGAAAGATTCAATGACATTCTCAGGGCCAGACAATGAGTCAGAGGCAGAAATGGTGAATGAATGGCAGTCTTGACTCAGGGACTGTGGCTTACACAAGTGGCTTTCACTCCTCTTGTCACCAAAGGTCCCAGCATATCCTAATCCAATTGCTTCTGCATAAAGGGTGCAACTGTGGGAGAAGAAGATGGGCTCCCAACCACATCTGGTTGACCTTGGGCTTAGCATGACCTGCATGAAGCTACTGATGAATACGTTGTCCTTGATGGGCCAGCTCCTTGGGGACAGTTTTGACAAACAGCTTCTAATTGGCTATGTTGTCATTCATTATCCTGGAAGAAAGTTGTGGGCAGGGTCAGGTGAAGGCTTTCCTGCATGATTTTCCACTGATACAGACTGATGTTTAATTTCAAATGCCATTTCAAATGCCATTGGCTTCATGGGGTGACAATGGCTATCTTGGAGATTAGAAGTCCTGCAGCACAGTGGTAATGCATTGGAATAGGCTGCCCAAGGAGGTGGTGGAGTCACTGTCCCTGGAGGTGTTCAAGAAATGTGGAGATTTAGCACTGAGGAACATTGGTTAGTGGGCATGGTGGGGATAAGTTGGTGTCGGGCTTAAGCTTGGTGTTCTCCTACTGTCAGAGAACAACGTGATTCTGTGACTTGTTAGAACAGCACAGCAAGACCAGGAAGGTGCTACATGGCTCACAGCAGTGCCTTTCCCAAGCGTGGCCTCTCTGTGCTGCCAGAGAACTACAAGATCAAATGATTTCTAGAACAGCACAACCTTGCAAGATAAGCACCAGCATCATGCTTTGTTTCTCCATTTTCAGGTCAGGATGGGTGCCACACACAGGTATTCCCTTACCAATAATGAATTGAGGTCTTCCCTGGTTATTGTCTCTGGGACATGGTACATCCACAAAGTCATCTGCAACCAGCACTGTGTCAAACTCCAGGCCTTTGGCTTGGTGGACGGTGCCTATTAGGTAATCTGTAACCAGAGCACATAATAAAAAAAATTAAGAAAAAAATAAAAAAGAAAAAATTATCCATGTTGCTGCAATGATTTATATTTTTAATTTCACAATGATTCCACATGCATTTCACCTCTCCCCAAACACAAACTGGGAGCACAGCACTGCTAATAGGATTGTAGATCGCTACAGGCAACTTCCCAGCCAAGGGTGATGTCTGGCTATCAGCAGCCTGAGCCCCAGCCCCAACTCCCAACCAGGAACACACTTCATTTGGTGAATTATCATTGCTTTGTTGCCCATCTCAAAAATCCAGAAAGCTGAAGGGCAAATGCAACAGCAAGCACAAAAAAGCAGAACAAAGTCCTAGAGCTTTCCATTTGTATTGCACCCAGAGCTTTATTTGCCACTAGCAAAGCCACATTAAGCAGCCCTTTGATGGCAGGCTCATCGTCCTGAACACCTGGAAACTCAGATACACCTTACTGTCTTACTTTCTTTCTCCCAGAAAAGACCAACTTCCTCCAACCTTTTTGCAGAACGAGGCGGATTCAGCACTGAAGCTGTGCTGAGAAAAGCCCTGAACTTGTTTCTTTGTGACACAGCTTGGCTTCACCTGCCATAGCTTCTTGCAACACGTGGCTGCTCTCGATCTTCCGCACCAACTCAGGGATCTCCTCTTTGAACTTCTCCACTATCCTAATCTTCATTTCCAGCTCTTTGTCATCAACACGCGTTGCATAATTCTTCAAACCAATGAAGCCCTCGTTTTCTTCCCATCTCTTGATAAAGGAGTCGTTTATCACAAGGTTTGCTGAAGGAAAAGTAACAGATACGTGTCTATTTAACAGGCACATTTTGGGGTGGTTTGTTTTTTATTATTTCTCATCAAATCTCAGAGTAAATATTAGAGAAGGTGAGTGTGCAGCAGTGCATGGACTGCTGCTGTGGGATGCAAGGGCTTGGGATACACTCCTTGCTCTGTCACTGCTGTGATCATACAATGGCTTTAGTTGGAAGGGACCTCAATGATCACAGAATCGTAGCAGAGGTTGGGTTGGAAGGGACCATCACAGAATCACACAGAATCACAAGGTTGGAAACGACCTGCAAGATCATCCAGTCCAACCACCCTCCCATTCCTATCAGTGCCACAAGCTACTAAACCATCTCTCGTAGCTCCTC